TAGAGACCTTAAGTGATAATTCTAAGAGCGTCTAAAGAACTAAAAAAATTGTCACAGCTCGAGTTTCATGAGTTTGAGATTCAATAGGATGAGGCTAGAAGAAAAGTAGATCTCTTGCCTTAAGTGTCCAAAAGTTAAGGAGAAGGTATTCATCTAAAGTCATGCTTTGAATTAGAGTAGGAAGATGAATAAGAGGTAAAGATTGGGTTCTTCATCTGTCTCTTCTTCAAAAGATAAGAGGTCAAGATCCTCCTAAGTGGCCATTAAACCTTTATTCTTGTTAAAGAAAGTTGGTTTTTTCCATGGTTTTAAAACTTGACTCGAACCAACCAATTAAACTGGTTTGACTATAACTTTAACATATCACTGGTTCGAGCTAAATATCATATCATATGCTTCTAACTTAGGTATGATGTCATTAAACCATTTAAAATAGGTAGAAACTCATTTAGGTGCACCAAATTTTTTAGTTGAACTTTCTCTTTCTTGTCCATGTGGGAGGATATTGACCTCATATTATCCAAAGAAGAGGTTGACGAAGAGGCCAATCTTTGCCTGGTGATTGATGGAGATAAAATGTCACGCTCTAAAGAAAAGTAGGAAGATGAACAAGAGGTAAATCACATTGACTTCCTTTTTATTAAAGACATATATAATGAAGTTCTTGTTGACTCCTCTAAAATCTCAATTACTTATAAAGCATTAAAGAAATGATGTTCTACTTTATCTAGAGAATATGAGGCTTTGAAAAAAGGGAATGAAAATCTTTCTAAAAATGCAAGTCTTTAGAAAACTCTCCTAAAAAATCTACATTAGATGAACTACCTAGACAAGATAGATAAGCTTAAGAAGGAAGTGAATTTCCTTAAGATTAACTTTTCCATGTTTGTCCAATGTACTAAAAACCTGCATTAAATACTAAGGTATAAAAGGAATGTTCATGACATGTTTGATCATGGATACAAAGGCAGAAGTAAATTAATGACAAGTTTGTATTCATTTGCTACTTCTATGAAAAAATTGGACATATTACATCCAAGTGTAGTCACATGCGTAAAAGGAGACCGCCTAATGTCTCTAAGAGTAATAGAAGGACCCAAGTCAATTTGGGTACCTAAAAATAACATAATTTCTATTGTTGATCCCCTTGATAGCAAAAGTTTAGTCATGGTACCTAGATAGTAGAGGCTTATGTCACATGATGGGTGAAAAGTGTATTTTCCAAAGTCTAGGACCAGAGAGTGGTGGTTAAGTCACTTTTGAAAGAAATTAGAAAGACAATATCAAAGAAATAGGTAAGATATGTTTATTATTTTTCCTTTCCATTGATAATGTGCTTTTTTTCGATGAACTCATACCCAATTTGCTAAGTCAAATTTGTGATGGTGAATTTGATGTTTTCTTCAACAAGGATAAGTATATAATAAAAAATAGTGATGTTTTCTACATTAGATGAACTACTAAACAAGATATATAAACTTAAGAAGGAAGTGAATTTCTTTAAGATTAACTTTTACAAGTTTGTCCAATGTACTGAAAACCTGCATAAAATACTAAGGTATAAAAGGAATGTCCATGAAAAGTTTGATCATGGATACAAGGGCAAGAAGTACATTAATGACAAGTTTGTATTCATTTGCTACTTCTATGAAAAAATTGAACATATTACATCCAAGTGCAGTCACATGTGTAAAAGGAGACCACCTAATGTCTCTAAGACTAATATAGAAAGACCCAAGTCAATTTGGGCACCTAAAAAGAACATAATTTCTATTGCAGATCCCCTTGATAGCAAAAGTTTAGTCATGGTACCTAGACAGTAGAGGCTTATGTCACATGATGGGTGAAAAGTAATGTTGTAAAGTCTGAGACCAAAGAGTGGTGGTTAAGTCACTTTTGAAAGAAATTAGAAAGACAATATCAAAGGAGTAGGTAAGATATGTATATTGTCTTTCCTTTCCATTGATAATGTGCTTTTCATTGATGGACTCATACCTAATTTGCTAAGTCAATTTTTGTGTTGGTGAATTTGATGTTTTTTTTAACAAGGATAAGTATATAATAAAAAATAATGATGGTACACAACTCTCAACTGCCACTACACAAAATAATCTTTAAATGATTAAATTGGATGAACTGACAAGTCAAAATCTAAGATGCCTTGGACATGCAAATTTGATATTAATCTTAAAGATGGAAAAGCACAACCTCATAAGAGAATTTCCAAATCTTACTAATCACTCAATAAGCTTTATGAAGCATGTTGAATAGGGAAACAAATCAAAACTTCTTTTAAATCTAAAAATGTTATTTCAAACTCTAGGCCTCAAAACTCTTACTTATTGATTTGTTTGGTCCATCTTAAAAGTCATCCCTAAAATGATTTTCCTAAAATAGTGATGCGATAAAAAATTTGAAATTGTGGAAGCAACTTACAAACAAATATATAAATTTATAAAGTCAATAAGTAGTATTATCTTTTATATATATATATATATATATATATATATATATTTTGATAAAATTGAACAACAATTTAAAAATAATTAAAGTATTCATATTTTAGTATATTTTGAAATATATATTACATTAATTTTATTTTATAAGAATGAAGTATCAAATCATCTTTGATTAATATAAAATTTTGTATATATGATCTAAGAGTAAAGAACTTTCAATCTAACGGTTGAATTTACAAAATTCACATTTAATATAAAGTTATTGAGTAGTTTAATACTTGATAAAAGTTACACCGGTATTATTATAATTCTCTTCTCTCTCTCTTTATATATATATATATATATATACATATATTTATAATTAAGCTATATTATCTCTCTTACAGTTCCTATTTTTTATGGGTAAATATTAATAATTAATATGTTATGTTAGTAATTGTTTTATCTCTAATATAGTTTTTTGTTTCATTCTCAATGATATTCATAAAATCATTCATAAAGAAAGTTTTTTCATGAAGATATTTATTGAACAACAAAAGTGAAGCATGAGCCTCGAAGTTTCTCAATTATATTTTCTTAATTTTTAATTATATATTATTTTTCACATGATAGTTATTGTATTTATTATTTATTATTAATATAAAAGAGACACTTCATATTTTTCATGTATTTTATTTAAAAAATAAAAATATATAATTGAAGTTAAATATAAAAAATAATTAATAATTAAAGGGT